TATATATATATATATATATATATATATATAGTCATGTAAACTATGAAATTCCAGCCATTTAAGTGTATATTAGTTGTCACAATCTGGCAGTTTGCTTGAGTGGCACATGGGTCCTTGCTAACACGTCAACTAAACATGAATCCCAGCCACTAAATTGTTAGAAGCCTATTGATCCTCAGGTTTTATTATAGTACTTTTTTTTGTTTAATTTTTTATGTATGTAAACTGTAAACTTGTTTACTCTCCTTTACGAGTTTATTTAAAGTTGAGGAGTGCTATCAATACACTCCTTCTAACATACCTTTTACTATTGGTTAAAATTTATTGTAAACTACAAAACTATTAGCACGATTTATTAAATAAAGAGTGGGACTCACAAAATTGTGATTTCTAATAAATTTTAGTCAATAGTAGAGTAGAGAGTGCGTTGCAAACATTTCTCTAGAGTTTTATTCTCAAAGTTTAATAACCCGTCTCAAAGATGCTTTGGTCTCAGTTGTATGCTGCTTTGCTTGGGTAGCATATCACTCGGAAGTCATGTTACCTGATACATAGGCAATGAGATATTCCTGACCTCAAACCTGATGGGGCCACATCATGCACTTATGACCACTTTGATAAGTGATTACCCATTCACCTTGTTTCTTTTTTAGCTTTTATGATATTTTAGTTATTGTCTTGTTAAAATTCATTTGTAAGAGAAGCACAGAGAGAGAGAGAGTGTATCTTCTACCGTGCTTATACATCAATTCATTACCGTTAACACTAAATGAATGTAGCTTATATATGATTGAGAGGTAATTGGATTTTCTCTTTGTTATATTTTATCTAATCTAAACTTTTTCCACTTTTGGTTGATCCAGGAGGATTCATCCTCTTTTATACTTTTGTATCTCTTAATGAATTTTCTTATTTAAAAGGGATATCTATTGAAAAATAATTTACTCGCTTGTGCACATTTCTATTATCAAAATGTGTGCAAAATCTTAATGAGTTAGGACAGTTGTGTTGCCTTAGTAAAGTTCATAGATTTAGAGTCAATTTAATGTTTGATTTAATTGTATTGAGGAGACAGATGTTACTGTATTTTGTGTACTTTTCCCTGTTTTCTTTTCCTTGGAGGATGTAATTTTCTTACTCCTCAAATTTAAACAGAGAGCACATTCTATATCCACTGAGAAGGCTACAGTTTCTGCTACCGATGAAGATTCCATTGCAGATGTGATGGAACTGCATGATGAATTTCTCAGTTCAATGCTGGCTCGTTCAGCTAAGTTACAGGTATTGTTGATTTAATTATGATTTGATGAATATGTTTTTCATTAAGTCCTTTGAATTTATTTTTATTTGTGTATCGGCTATCGTTATATGTATACTGCACAAGGGTCTTTGAATGTTGTTAAATGTCAACAGATCAGGGTCGCAGGAAGGTAACATGGAGAACACGATGTGCTTTAGCATCTTTTTAAATTATAGAAAAAGAATTACTCTAGAAAAGGAGAGAATTTCAAGACCAGAGGATAATATATCTGATGAAAATTGAAATTATAGGGATTTAGGTAGGAATGAGAAAAAGAGAGAACAAGCAACCGATGATAGAATATAATATTCATATATGGTGTTTATTGAAGTGTTGTAAAAGACAACTGTAACTAGACTCGTACACCAAATTGAATGAGGAAACCAATCATGAAATAATGATGACATTATGAGATATTTTCTAGATATTTTATTTCTTACAATGCAATCGTATATAGTTGAGTAACCTGGAGTGCACAAGAAAAAATAATCTATTTGGCAATTCTTGCTAATATCTTTGCATATTAAATGAGAAACCCCTCTTGAAAGATATTTGCCAGGCACCATAGGGAAGCTTAGACCAGGAAATAGCAAATATTTATCCCAGAGAATACTATCAAACCTCTATAATCGTAGATATACCTCTTCACTACAACCAACTGAACCATTCTGAAGTTTGAGATTTTTTTTCCTAGGCGAGTTGAACTTGTGCCTAAAACCAATTTGAAGGATCCACAGCCAGTTTTCCTGAACAGGCAAGATGAGAACATGGTTTCTATATAAAAAGAAAATAAACCCTTATGATTTCTATAAATTAAAATAGAATTTTGGTAACTTAACCAAACCTACTAGCAATTATACGTTGGCTGAACTTTTAAAGCATTATATTGCAGATGGTCTTCAGATGCTGGGAAAGAAATGATGTTAAGGAGGTCATTGGCATAATGGCAAAGATGGATGATCATGCTGTGAGCATTGAGTTTGCTTATATTCAGTCAATACAACATCTCATTATTTTTGTGTTCATGTTTGTGGTATCAATATATGGATGCATGATATTATTTTTTTGCTATTATTGGTATTTATTCCAGGTGATTGCTGATGTTGTTAGCATTATAATGGAAAAAATTGATACCATCACCCTTGATATATGCACGGGTCTTCTGCCACTTCTAGCTGACCTTCTACAAAGTGAAATGGACAGGTGAGCGATATCTCTTCTGTTGACACAAGACAGCATTTTAAATTCATTGTGCTGAACAAATACATAACAGAGGACATAATATTATTTCTCAAAATTGAGAAAGGAAAAATAAAATGATAGCTACATACAAGGCTTAAGAAATGTTTCTTTTATGTGTTCAGTGTCACCTGCACTGGTAGAATAGACGTGTAATAACCAGATTTCTGCGGGAATGAGGGCAAAGTCCATTTTGGTGAAAACTAGTGTTAGATTAAATATTAATCCATTGTGGGGGTAACTAGGGCCAAGATTGACCTTGTTTGCATTTCATTGGATAGCAGTTTCTCTCTCTGTGTACTAAGTACTAACCAATGTAGAGGCTATTCCCAACAGCAAGAATGAGAGGCCATTTTGGGGATTCAAGGGAAAAAGATGTGAAAAGTGGATCATGAAAGTGATGATTCACTTAGTTTGATGTTTTATTAAATATAATTTCTCTCAATTTGTGTGTATTGGATCAGGTTATATGATACTTTTAGCAGCAATGTGAAGAGTGGCTTGATTGTCACAAATAAGCTCAGTATCTTAAGTGTCTCCAAAGTCCAAACTGTAGCTGTTGTAGAAGTTGTCTAAGCCATGTAATTTCGCACGTAGTTGTACCCATGGCACAACATTCAGCTTTATTGTTGGATCTAGCTATTGTATTATGCAGCTTGCTTATCCCAATGGCTATCACATGGGGCATTTAGGAATTGACTTACCATGCTTATTGCAAATGTAATACCTGGCCTAGTGACAATGAGATAATTAAGTTTACAAGTCGACTATATCTTCTCAAGTCTTTCAGTGGCTGCCTTTGACCTAGAAGAAGCTTCACGTTAGGATCCATAGGTGTGTCACTAGGTTGACAGTCTAGAATGACGGTCTTGGTGAGAATATCTAGAGCATTTTTCTTCTGGGGAATGGCTATACCAAAGGTGGACTAAGCAACCTCAATGTCTAAGAAATATTTGAGTAGTCTCAAGTCTTATATTTGAAATTGACTTTGAAGGTGAGATTTGAGTTGACGGGTGCCATCAAAATTGTCACCAATAATGCTTATGTCATCAACATAGACAACTAGATAAATGCAGAGGCTAGATGGAGGATAAAGAGAAAAGACAGTGGTCAGCCTTAGTGGGTCATACCAAATCGTAGTAAGGCACAACTAAACCGGCCAAACTAGGCACAAAGAGATTGCTTCATCTCATATAGAGACTTAAATCTGAATAATTTCTTATTATTCTGAATTGTTGGGTACAATCAAATAAATAGGCTTGTAACATAATCAATCCCTAAAGTTTAGGGATAAAGATAAATCTGACTAAAGAAAACTAAACTATAAATCAAGAAAACTATATCTTATAGAATTATCTTAACACTCCCCCTCAAGCTGGAGCATATATATCATATGCATCTAGCTTGTTACATATATATGTTATCCTAGGACCTCGTAAAGATTTAGTAAAGATATCTGCAAGTTGATCCTTGGAGCAAACTGAGGAGGTCTTGATGATACTAGAGAGAATCTTTTCTCTGATGAAATGGTAGTCAACCTCTATATATTTTGTTCTCTCATGAAAAATTGGATTAGAGGAGGTATAAAGCTGACTGGTTATCACAAACTAGTTCCATATGACCAACCTTGCAAAACTGCAACTCTTGAATTAAGAATTTTAGCCATAAGAGCTCACATGTGGTGTGAGTCATAGCACGGTATTCTGTTTTTGTATTTGATCGTGCAACAAAACTTTGCTTTTTACTCTTCCATGAGACAAGATTACCACACATGAAGACACAATAGCTTGATGTTGACCGTCTATCACTTGCATCACTTGCCCAATCTGCATTTGAATATCCAACAATGTCTGTATGACCTCTATCATTGTAAACAAGTCTTTTTCCTGGTGAGCTTTTGATGTATCTAAGGATTCGAACAATTGCATGCTTCATGTTAAGAAACTGACTTACAACACTGATAGGAAAGGATATATCAGGTCTGGTCATGGTGAGATAATTCAATTTTCCCACGAATCTCCTATATCTCCCTTGGTCAGGATAAGGCTCTCCCTGATTAGGCATAAGCTTCACATTGGGATCCATGGGAGTGTCAACTGGCTTACAATCTGTAAGCCCGGTCTCCTCTAGAATATAAGGGCTTATTTTCTCTGAGAAATAGCAATATTGGACTTTGACTAAGCAACCTCAATCCCAAGGAAATAACATAGAGGACCTAAATCCTTAGTTTGAAAGTATTTAAATAAGTGCTGCTTTAGAGCCTTGATGCCCTCCTGATCATCACCTGTAATCACAATATCATGTACATAAACAACAAGATAGACAAATTTATGTGTTGATGAACATCTAAAGAAGACAAAGTGGTCTGCCTGGCAGCGGATCATTCCATATTCCTGTATAACTTTACTAAACCGACTAAACTAAGCATGAGGTGATTGTTTGAGGCCATACAAGGACTTTTGTAATTTACACACAAGAACAGACCCCCCTTGAGCAACAAACCCAGGAGGTTGCTCAATATAAATATACTACTAAAAACAAACATGTAAGAAGACATTTTTGATGTCTAATTGAAACAAAGGCCAATGCCTCATAGCAGCCATGACTAAGAAGAGACGAACTAAAGCCATCTTTGCAACTGGAGAGAAAGTGTCCTGTAATCCAAACCATATACTTGCGTGTATCCCTTAGTCTTAAGACGAGCTTTCAATCTATCCACCTGTCCATTAGGGCCCACTTTAACATTAAATACCCACCGACAACCAACAACAAATTTTCCAGGCGGAGGTGGGACAAGTACTCAAGTGTGGTTGGAGTCTAAAGTTGTCATCTCATCAATCATTGCTTGTCGTCATCCTGGATGTGTTAAGGCCTTCTGTATTGTCTTGGGAATTGTAATAGAGGAAATCACAGAGACAAAAGCATAATAGGTAGGAGAAAAATGATGATATGAAAGAAAGTTATAAATAGGATGAGGATTACAAGTAGAACGACTACCTTTACGAAGAGCAATGGACAAGTCAACTAAGGTAGGTGGGGCCGGAGTAGGTGAGGAGATCGGAGCAGGAGCAGAATCACATGGCTCAATTGTAGAAGCACTAGGAGGAATAACAGTAAGTGATTGACGCTCATAGGTTATCCCAAATCGGTGTAGAGGACAGCCAGACCCTGATAGTGTATGAGAAATCTCTGGTGCCTCTAAAGTAGCAGGTGTAGGAGGCCCACTATGATCAAAATGAGGAATAGGCAATACTTGAGAAAGGAGATCTGAGTCAACCAGAAAGACATTTGTAACAATAAAATATGGTGTATCTTCAAAGAAAGTGACATCTGCACTAGTGTAAAATCGATTCGTAGCATGAGAGTAACAACGGTACTCCTTTTGGACACGGGAGTATCCTAAGAACACATATTTGATAGCTCGAGCAAACAACTTAGCACATCCTGAGAAAAGATCATGGACAAAACAAGTACAACCAAAGACACGAGGATGAACAAAGTAAAGGGAATCCAATGGATATAATAAGGAATGAGGTACTTGATCATTCAAGACAGACGATGTCATTCAATTTATTAAATACCCTGCAGTGAGGACAACATCGCCCCACAACTTTGGGGGTGCATTGACATTTAATAAAATAGTATGAACAGTGTCCATAATATGTTTATGTTTTGGCTTGGCTACACCATTTTGTTGAGGTGTATGAGGGCAATTAGATTGATGTAGAATGTCATGGGAAGCCATAAATGATTTGAAGCAATTTGAAAAATATTCTTTAGCATTGTCACTTGGTAAAATCCGAATTACTTTGCCAAATTGAGTTTTGATCTCCGAATAGAAACTTAAGAAAATATTAAATAACTCAAAACGATTTTTCATTAAAAATATCCAAGTACATCTAGAAAAATCATCAATAAAGGTGACGTAATACTTATGCCCTAAAAGAGAAGGAACACGACTAGGACCCCAAACATCAGAATGAATAACATCACAAGGAGACATAGCTCGACTATTAATACTATTAGGAAAAGAAGCTCTAACATGCTTCCCTAATTGACACAACTCACACTCAAAGGACTCCAACCGTGAGAGATGAGATACCATTTTCTTTAATTTATTCAAGCTTGGATGACCCAGGCGACAATGGATTAAACCATGGGACTCAATAGATGCACATATGGTAGAGGTAGAAGGCTGAAGGTAGTAGAGACCATGTGATTCAGATCCGACTCCGGTACTGTATCAAGAAAGAGTCAGAAGTGAAGGTTATGACACGGTTTAGTGACCGAGTCAACTTACTTATAGAAATCAAATTAAAGGGACATCCAGGAACTAGTAAAACATTTTAATGGTAGTTATGGGAGAGGTGATATTTGGCCAATACCAGTGGCTTGGACTTTTGACCCATTTGCAAGAGTGATATGATGTGGAGTTTTAGGTGATGATAGGCTAGGAAAAATGGAGACATTACCAGTTAGGTGATTAGAAGCACCGAAGTCCAAAATCCAAGGTCCAATAAATGTAGAATGAGAGAGACAGATTGTAGAATTACCAATGTGAGCAACAGTGACAGAGGAAGGGGCCTGTTTAATTGCCTTCAGTTGAAGATACTCTTTGTAATCATCGGTAGATAATGTGATTGGATGATTGCCCTCAGGTTCAATCTTGACTTCTAGAGTCGAAGTCGGGGATTGAGCCACATTAACTGTCTTGCTCAGAAAGTCATGCAAGGAATAACACCTGTCTCGTGTATGTCCATCTCTTTGGTAGTAGGTACAATGGAGGTTTCCTTTACCTCCTTTACCATGACCAAAACCTCGACCACGCCCTCGACTTCCACGGTTAGCTGTACTAGAGATAAAAGCAGAGGACTCAGATTCTGTGTGAGGTTTTGCCTCCGTTGAAGGGACTCAAATCAATTGATCTATGAGCTCTTCCACTGTAGGAATGACAAGGTTTGTCA